AGCAAGACAAATGCCGTCTTCACCAACCTGTCTACCTGAGACTCCACTTTCAAGGAACAATGCACTTGTACCCCTAAGTCTCTTTGTTTGGCAACATTCTCCAGGGCCATGCCATTATTTGTATAAGTCTTGCCCTGGTTTATCTTACCAAAATTCAACATCTCACATTTATCAAAATTAAACTCCATCTGCCACTCCTCACCCCATTGGCCCATCTGATCGAGGTTCTGTTGTATTCTGAACTAATCTCCTTTACTGTCTACTACATGACCTATTTTGATGTCATCTGCAAACTTACTAACGTTACCTCCTATATTCATGTCCAAATAATTTATATAAATGAAGTAAAGCAGTGGACCCAGCACCTATCCCTGTGGCACACCACTGGTCACAGACCTCCAGTCTGAAAAGCAACCTACTACTACTACCCTCTTCCTAACTTCAAGCCACTCCTTTCCGTATTTTCCAACGTTTAGTTTGAATTCTGTTCAAATGTAAATTATATTTCCTGCCTTATATTTCCTGTTGTGGATAGCAGCTCTGAAAATCAGCAATGATTGTCCTCTGCTATGAGTGCCACTTGCCCTCCAGATTTGTGTGAATGACATATAAGCATTCTTCTTATGTGGCTCAGTATCACACTTTGTTTCATAATGCTCCTCAGAACTGCTTTCATATGCTTCATTACATTACAAACACTATAGTAATGTAAGTTGCTGTTGCTGAATGTAAAATCCATTCATTTGCAGCTGATTGCACAATCTGGACTGATATATAGTTAGATCAGTGTTAGATGATTTGCTTAAAGATACATAAAATAAAAATCACAGTTAATTCCGAAATCTTTACCTACCTGTACTTTTTCCAGACTTTGGTGGTCCTAAAATGGCCATCTTGATGGGTACAACAGGCCTGGGTTTAGTCTGGGAAATATACTTGAAAGGATTTGCCATGAATTTGTTTCTGTTCTCCTTGGTAGCAAAGTAATAAACATACTTGCGGTGGACAACAGGGAAGACATTTTGGTGGATATCACGGATAGGTTGAATTGAAGTTCCTTTGCTTAACTAACAAAAAAACAAAAAGTTTGTTTATTTTAAAATAAACTCATTCTCCCTAAATAGCATTTTTATCAAAAGTTGTTTCATTTGAAAAATGTCAGTCACAGGCATTCTAGAGTCACATGTATTTTGCATGCCTGGCAAATTTTGTTGGTACGTTTCTTCACTGATCACCTTTGTAGTTCGATAAGTAAACTATAGTTAAGCAACACAAAATACACCAAATCTTTTAGTAATTCTCACAGATTTTGTAGTGAATCAAATAAGTAGAAATTACAGACTGAATCTTCCCAAACCCTGATTGATGTGGACAATGGCAAGTTGGGAAAGTATGCAGGATTAATTGAGATTCTAGATGCTGAGGAGAAAAGGTCCAATTTTCCACTCAGGGGCTGAATGAGAATTTTGCCAATGAGCTCTGAGAGGCCTATTGTTGTGTACTTAAATCTGATTAGTACCAAATCTCACCTCATTTTACATGCCATCTCCTATTCTCTAATTTGGTAGACAGAAATTACAAGGCAATAATTCCCAACATGAAAGTCAGGGTAAGAATTTGGCAGTTCTAGCTCACTACTTACTTCTCCGGGCCTCAATCTTATCAGCAGTCCTCAATATCGCAGGGCAGGCTTCCTAGGGACTGACTGCCTACACAGCTTGTCTGTTGAGCCTGGCTTCCTCCAACCACCAGCCTCAACACGTCATCTCAGCACACTTCATGCACAGTGACAGGCACCATCTTATGTAGCAGAGTAGCATGTATCTCAGGGCTGTTCATTTGCTCTCTTAGTGCTCACTCACTTTGCTTGTACATGGATTCTCATAGCATCTCTGCCGTGCTGTTTTGTGCTTTGCAGTGTCATTCAGAACTTAAGAGTTTCCAGTACTTTTGACTTGCCTTTCCATTTAGCAGAAAGTCAGGTAGCTTATCATGATTGTCAGCAATGCTCAATCCAGGGGGTAGACATGTTACACCTACAGCATGTGTCAGCAGCTTATTGCCATTTGGGGTAGTCCTCATCACTACAGTCCAGGGAATGGGGCATGGCCAGTCCTGCAGGTCCTGTACAATCAATCTAGGTATTAGTTAGTTGGGGAACTGCACAGTTATCAGTCAGGGGTCCTTCCAAGTCAGCCACAGACAGTCCAGGGGAATTTGCTCACTAAACTTCAGAGGGGTTCATCAGGGGTCAACACGGTAATAGGGAGGTTGGATAAGTTGTTATGAGGATTGGAGACAGCATGCTGGTATACCGAAGTGGCAATTTTGTGAAGAGAAACAACTGAACATACAAGGCTGAGAGATGGTAGTAGATTCGACAACATGGGTTACTGCATTAACTGTAACCACCACTCTGTCTTTGATGGGGGGTGACATTGGAGTTTATAGGGAGTGCAAAGAAAAAAAGGACTTGAAGTTTGAGGGGGGTGTAGATTACCAGGCTGAGTTTGCAACTTATTCTGTAAAATGCAACCAAACTGTAAGTGCATAATGGAAATGGAAATTGCCTGCGACCAGCCTGGGTAGGCCCCACTGGATGGAGAAAGGGTTTTCTTTCTGTTTCAGCACGTAGTCCCTACTTGTGAGAGATCTGAGACCTTTCAATGCCTTACACAGGACAGATTGAAGACATCTGAAACCATGATAAGTATATGTGAAACACATACAGTATGTAACTCTGTGGGTTAAAAGTCCTGGTCACAAGCAAGCTCAACCACGTCACTGGTCATTGCAACCTAGTCATAACCATCTCTGTGAACAGAAGCAATTGTCGGAGACCTTTCAACTGCGGGACGCAATTCATAAGAATCCAAGGTCTCAGTAGGCTGCACAAGGCCACGGAGCTCAATGCCTCTCACCTTTAACTCCACTTATTTGTGGTATACTTTTTAGTGCTGCCTTTCTTGGGTTATGTGCTAGGTGAGGTGGAGGGAAGGGGGCAAGGTTTCAGTAATCCTTCTGTACTTAAAACCTCCTACTGTATTTGCACAGTGTGGCTTCTAGTTCATATATTGGGATAAGATCCACTACGTCAAAGGTCCATGTTAAGGAAATCCATGGCCATCCATGTTGGAGCTTTCCATATTCCATTGTATGGAGGACAAAATTGAACTGTCATTTGTGTTTCTTTTATTCATCTATGGGGTGTAGGTGTTACTGGCTAGGCCAGCATTTATTGCCTATCTCTATTTCCTTGAGAAGGCAGGTATGAGCTGTCTTCTCAAACTGCTGCAGGTCCATGTGCTGTAGGTAGACCAACAATGCCATATGGAAGGGACTTCCACAACTTTGACCACAGCAACACTGATGGAGCAGTGATTTATTTCCAAGTCAGGATGATGAGTAGCTTGGAGGGAAACTTTCAGTTGGTCTTGTTCCCATGTATGTGCTGCCCTTGTCTTTCGAGACGGAAGTGCTTGTGGGTTTGGAAGGTGCTGTCAAAGGAGCTTTGGTGACATTCTGTAGCACATCTTGTAGACAGTGCACACTGCTGCTACTACCAATTGGTGGTGGAGGGAATGAATGTTTGTGAATGTGGAACCAATCATGTAGGCTGTCCTGGATGATTTCAAGCTTCTTAAGTGTTGCTCAAGTTCTATTCATCCAGGCAAGAAGGCAGTATTCCATCAAACACTTGACTTGTGTCTTGTAGGTTGTGGACAGACTTTGGGGAGTAGGAGGTAAGCTACTCACTGTAAGATTCCTAGCCTCTGACCTGTGCTTGTTACAACTGTATATGTATGGCAAGTCTAATTCAGTTTCTTGTCAATGGTAACTCCAGCATGTTGATAGTTGGGTCTCATTGATGGTAAGGCCATTGAAGATCAAGGGTGATGGCGAGATTCTCTCTTTTGGAGGTGATCATTGCCTGGCATTTGTATGTCGCAAATGTTACTTGCCACTTTTCAATCCAAGCCTGGATGGTGTCCTGGTCTCGCTGATTTTAAACATAGACTGCTTCAGTATCTGAGGAGTCATGAATGGTGCTGAACGTTGTGCAATCATCAACGAATACCTCCACCTCTAACCTTATGATGGGGGGAATGTCATTTATAAAGCAGCTGAAGATAGTTGGACACTCCCTTGAGCATCTCCTAGATGACCTGTAACAAGATGACTGATATCCAACAACCATAAATGTTGTGCCAAGTATGACTCCATCGGCAGTGTATTTTCCTCTGATCCTGATTGACTTCAGATTTGCTAGAGCACCTTGATGCCATACTTGGTCAAATGTTGCCTTGATGTTGAGGGCAGTCACTCTCACTTCATCTCTGGAATTCAGCTTTTTTTTGTCCATTTTTAAACCAAGGCTGTAATGAAGTCAGGGACTGAGTGGCCCTGGCAGACCCCAAAATGAGGGTCAGTGAGCAGGCTACTACAAAGCAAGTGATACTTGACAGCACTATTGATGACACCTACAATCACTTTACTGATATTCAAGAGTGGACCAAAGGGCAGTAATTGGTCAGGTTGGATTTGTCCTGCTTATTATGTACAGAATAAACCTGGACACTTATCCACATGCCAGTAGGAATGTTAGGTAGATGCCTGTGTTATAACTGTACTGGAACAGCTTGGTTAGAAGTGCAACAAGTTCTGGACAAGTCTTCAGTACTATTACCAGAATGTGTCAGGCCTCAAGGCCTGCCATATCCAATGGCTTTAGACATTTCTTGATGTCATGTAAAGTGACTTGAATTGGCACCTGTGATGCAGGGATCTCTGCAGAAGACCAAGGTGGATCATCCACTCGGCAACTCTGGCTGAAGATTGTTGCAAATGCTTCAGCCTTCTCAGTGTGCGGTGCAAGTGCTGACTGCTTACATTACTGACTTATTCTGTTTCTGAATTCCCCAAACAGGTGTATTAGAACTGTGACTAGCACAGTGGGGGTCATCATCACTGTGGTTGCAGTGCAATAAAGGCACTGAAAAACTGAGGAGGAACAGATATGTGCCAGGAAGTCCATAAACAGCACCAGTGCCTATGGTGGTGGCTAAACAGCCTTCACTGAAGATCTCCTCAGGATGTGGAGGAGGTACAGGAGGCCCAGAGTCTACCACCCTAGATGCCATTTCCTCCAGATGAATGAGGTGCATTGTGATGTCAGGTGTGTGATTTATGTACATTTTAATATAGTTTATTTTAAGTTTGGATGTTTGAGTCAATGATATATGGTTTTTTTTTCTGTGAGCCTGAAGGTTTAATGATTAATTTGTAAGTATTTTGTAGCTGTAGTAATTCCTTTTTAAATTGTGTGACAAAGGTAGCCTCTCCCAGGAATGATGGGTTTTTGTTTACATTAGGAAAGATAATGAGTGAGTAAGTACACAGAATAATATCTTAAGTTTTCCATTGGAAGTTTCAGGACATTCTTTTACATTTAGGGGAAACATCCATTGCTGGAAAATGAAAGGTTTAGCTTTAATTTCAGTTTGGGGCAATTCTGCAGGAATCTTTGATGAAGATGGATGTGTAAGGTAGTTGCTCCTGAGAAAAGGATAAAACAGATTACCTTAGAGTAAGGAGTTTAGCGATGGTTCCAGACCTGGAGATTTTGGATAAAACCCTGAAGTGCTGAGAATGTT